TAAATTGGAAGAATAAATTGTGCCACACCATCATACCTGAGAACTCTGTCATTGGGTTTTGCCCGTGGTGTGTCTGTGCCCAGTACCAGGCATGTCCACCAATCAGCAGGCCTCCTCCCTCCGCCACAAAGTTTTGGATTTCCTGCACATGGTCATTGCTGTACGCTGTGCACACAAACACACTCAGGTCTTCCTTGAAGTGGGTCTTTTCACAATTAAAGCCTGACTTGTGGTAGAGATTGAAGGCGTCATGGAGGTTTGGCATCACACCAACAACCCCATTCCGGCCTTCATCCAGCCAGAGAATGGCGTTGTTCCAAAATGGAGCTAGTGTCTGTGAAGAAAGATGGTTATCCAACAAAGAGAGTGGTTTGTTCATCACATAAGAAATATTTGACTGATTGAGTTCATTTGTTTAATTCTGCAAGTCTCTTCTATTCTATCTATTCAGATGGAGTGAGATCTGATGACTGTGTAGGAATGTGAATCACATGAGTCTCATTTTCATAAAAGACACTGAGCAACATTAATACTGTGTTCTTGTAAATAAGAAAAACATAGAACATTATTGACAACCTACCTCTCGCCTCAAAAGTCCTTCATGTGTGATCACAACAACCCGTCCCTGGCCATAGTAGGCTCCTGCCAGAAACGCTCGTCCATCCTCAGTGGTACCGATGGGGAAGGCCAGAGGGCCGTGGATCAGAACCTCAGACGCTAGGAGCCCACCCTGGAGGTCAAACTCTGAAATGCCCCCCAGTAAGAACTCCAAGTCGTCCTCAAAATCCTTACCTATTCTGTATTTTAGAGAGATGGGAAAAGAAAAGAACTGTCACTGTCATGTACCAGTTTTTTGTAACTGTGCTCTGGCGTCACTATTTCAGCAACTACTTAAATGGTGTTAGATTTTGTAGAGGCATTCGTAGTCACCAGAGGACGAATTGAACTGACTTTTTGATCACCCACTGACGTTTTCTGTATCTACATCATGAGTTTGACCTTTTTGGATTTAGTGATGGCATTCATTCTCACTACATGAGATACCTGTGATGCAATGTCCTGCTATGCTGCCTTTCTGCATAAGACTGAGGGTTTCTATAGCCGTGGCGTCATAATGACGGTGTTAAAAGGTGGTTTGATTCAGGTAGCACGCCACTGAAGGCCTAGGGGTAAAATGCACGGCCCGCCACTGGATTTTAGAATACTGTTTTAACAGCTATTGAAAACATTGGTAATTCACACAGATATCAATGGTTTAAAATGGTTAAATCCTAATAAAAATACTCAGAAATTGGTCCAGACATTGATGACTTCCAGAGTATAAATTCTTATGATGTCAGTGAACCATTGAATTTTCTCTAAGTGTCAACATGATGCTGAAGTTTTGATGTAAATGCCTGCATTAAATATTTACAGTTACACTGATCTGGCATAAAACTTGGCGGACATGTTCAGGCTCCTATTAGGATGATTATAAGTGAACATTTTAATTTGTACTTTAATTTATAAATAGATGAAATAATGCCACTACTGTTTGCATGTTAAAATGCTGATTAAAGATGGCGATTATTGCTAACATTACACCCGTTAAACACCAACAGTGCTTAAGTGGAGCCTCACAGAGCAGCTAATATGCCATGTCTTGTGACTTTTAAGTTGTTATGAGAACTTTGAGAGATTGGTTTGTTTCCTTTGACTCAATAATCACACGAGTCAGCAAGAATAAGGCAATTTTGTAGAATAAACTCAACGCAAATTCAATTTAAAAAGAATGATCTTCTTGTTTTAGTCTAGACCATTAGATGCACATGAATACATTATTTAAAAACATAAAGATGACAAATGTAATGCACTGATAAAATATCACAGTATTTAGTGAATTATTTTGGCAGTTAATTCTGACATATTGCATGAAAACGTTTGCAATAATGAGTTAAAGTAACTGCTCCAAGAACAAGACGGGCCAAATGTGTGCAAAACCTTTAAGAACAGAACTGCTGTCAGATTACAGCTTAGAACCAAATAAACAAAGAAAGAGAAACCCACTTACACCACAGACATCCAGGAGGATGGGATGTGAGGGGAGACAAACAGGTACTCTGCTTCACCGTGATGCTCAGAGAAGTAGATTCCTGCCACCCCTGACACCTTGTTCCCATCATACAGAAGCAGTGTGTTCTCCTTCGGGTGACTTGACGCCCAGTGCCACGCCTGTCCAGCTATCAGCACTCCTCCTCCTGCTTTCATGAATGCCACCAGTTCCTTCGGGTCTGCTCCAACGCTGTAGGCGTCCGTCACGTAAACACCAACCCCCAGATCGGCCTTATAGGCTCCCACAACTTCTGCTTGGAAGCTGGATTTTCTGAGGTTATCAGCAACACTCTTGACGTTGTGGTGCAGCCCTACAGAGACGTTATCAGATCCATCTCCTCTCAGCCAGGTCAGAGCGTTCTCCACCAGAGCTGGAAAGGCCGTCAGGTAGCCCTCGTGACCCAGGACCACAATCCGTCCACGGCCATACAGAGAGGCCGCCATCAGGACCTGGCCTCGGCTGTTCATGGCCAAAGGAAAGGCATGTTCTCCAATCAGCACCAGGTCACTGGGAACACAAGGGCCCCGCAGGTCCAGTTCTTTCAAGCCTCTCATCAGGGAGCTGTAGGCTTCCTCATGGTGGTTTATGATGGGCTGGTTGGCCATGATGTCAAGGTGGAAGGCAAAGGTGCTTTCAGTGAGGTAGCATGTAAAGATGTTCTTCGATGGGTGGAAGTTGTGTTGCTCTGGCTGTCCTGTGGGAATAGAAAGACAAACGTTAAAGCATACAATAAAAGCACTACAACTGGTTCAGAGATTTAAATAGCTGTTCTCCACTTGTTGCCACTCCAACCCAAGAGCTGCAACTAAACACTAGTCAAAACCACAAAATTATTATTTTTTTCACCTGAAAGTTTGATTTTCCTTCTAGTGGGACGATCGGACTGCAGCACAGCAGCCAACCAGACAGGCAAGACCTCAAGAGAACGATCTGACAGGAAAACAGAAAGGATTGAAGTGAGAACCAGAACAGCAAGCACTTCAAGGAAGAGGACACTCAGAGGAGGGACTTCAGACAGCACCACTCAGTGACAGACTGCTGATGACGCCCAGGTCAACAACCGTGGAGACTACAGGACAAGACACCTGTACGGCAACATTCTCAGTGTGAACATTTCTAGAATAACACCTGTTGCTGCTGATGTGGACACACCCTGATTGATTAAAAAACCTGCTAAAAATGCAGCCTTTAGTCGTTTTATGGCATATTTTCCTTGTTTCTTAAAGAAGCTTATGACAAGTATTTTTGATTATTGTAATCATAACTATTACAAAAGTACAGCCATCATATATATTTTTTTATATATATAGACCATGCCCACGACCAGTTCTAGTTGAGGCACATGAGGTTGAACTTGTACAAAACTACAAGTACCTTGGGCTGTGGCTAGACAACAAGTTGGACTGGACAGGCAACACAGACTACCTGTACAAGAGGGGACAGAGCAGGCTGTACTTCCTGAGGAGGCTCCACCAGTCGGAGGTCGCCAGCGTCCTTTTTTTTGCCGTGGTGTGCCGGGGCAGCAGCACATCAAAGACGGACGTATCGAGGCTGGACAAATTAATCAGGCAGGCCAGTTCTACAGTGGCCATGAAACTGGACTCCCTGGTGACAGTGGCAGAGAGGAGGACACTGAACAAACTGCTGGCCATCATGGACGATGCCAGCCACCCTCTGCACACTGTCATCATCGCCCAGAGGAGCCAGTTCAGCGACAGGCTGCTCCTCCCCAGGTGCAAAACCAACAGGAACAAAAACTCCTTTGTCCCCCGAGCCATCAAACCGTTCAACTCTGAGCTCGGGGGGAGGGGGAAGAGCAGCAAGGGGGGAGAGGTGGGGAGCGAGGGGTGAGGAGTGAGGACATTGGGGTGAGACAGAGCATCATGCTATATCACCGGACTGTGTGTGATATGTTACTGCATCCAGTGTTATTATTATTATTATTACTATTGTTGTTGAATATTTACTGTTGTTGCTGATTTTTGTGTTGGTGTTGTGTTGTTTTTTCAAGTATAACAATTTCCCTGAGGTTTTACATCGAAGGGATCAATAAAGTTTTATTTTATTCTATTCTATTCTACCTCTGTGGAAACAACACAGCCATGTTTTCACTGTTGACACTTTTACAAGCGAAGCATTTTCTCACAAGTCTGCACATTGACTATAGAAAGATGTTTCGCCTGTGGTGGACAGTGCACTGTGAATGACACATTTCAAAGAAAAAACATAATTTTAACTTAGATTTGGGTGTTTTTCCTGAAAGGAGCCACACAAATCTGATGATTCTTGCTGTTTTTACAGTTTCTTATTCAGATAAATGCTGTAGTTTTGACATTATATGAGTTGAATTGTTTTTTTTCAACGCCATTAGAGGCAGTGAAGGCAACTGGATGGCTACAATCATTATTTTATTCAATGTGAAAACAGTAAATAGACAGATAAATAAGTCTAAGAAATGAGACAGTAAATATGTGAAGAAATGTAATCACTGTATACATATCGTTTTTATATTTGTTTGAAAAGTTTTTTTTTTTTCAAATGCCGACTTCATTTTGGGGGATTTTATTTCCTCATGCGTCATTTGTTCCATAACAACATTTGTTTGTTTGTTTGTTTGTTTGTTTGTTTATTAATGATGTTAATCTAGGGCACGGAGCAGGCACATGATGCAGACACACAATCATTTCTCAATCATTTTTCTCAGAAGATCCCTGTTTGGCACAAACGTCCGCACCCACTCGGGGAGGAGGATCTAACCTGAACGGTGACAACATTCAAAACATGAACTCCAAAAATGTCCAACAGATAGATAGTCATTACAAGACATCTAACTGATATGAAAGCTACTTAACAGCCCGCCTTCCTTTAAACTACACAAGTAAACAAATACAGAGTTAAAATATATTAAAGTCTACTAGTTACAGTCGTTTGTTTCCTCCTGCTGAGCGGATCCCTGGAAACAGCGAAGCAAGAGAAGGTGGGTCCAGCTTAGGAAGTAGTCAGGCCGGAACTTACGGAGAGTCGGTTTTTACACGGACGCATTTGTCCGATGGACAGCGGAGCCACTGCAAAATAAGCCCCCTGTGGTTTGTTTTAGCGCAAAAATCCACAACAACCAACTGTGACGGCACACCGACTATTTCAATAAGAAAAAACAGATAAATAAAGAAGAAAAACAAAAAAATAAAAGTCGTTTTGTGATACGAAGCGTCCCGGAGGCTGAACTTTCTCCGTCCCGGCTCATAATCGTGAGAAACGAGCTCTCAAACTCACGTTAGCGCTCAAAGCACCGCTACAGCAGCCCGGGAGCAGCTCTGGTCAGATGTCGTGCACGCTGGTTGGCGCCTCTGGAGCCCGGGTCCCTCTGGAGGACGGACGAGCTGTGGTTCTGGGCCGGGGTCCGGACACCGGGGTCACCGACAAGAAATGCTCCAGACACCAGGGTGAGACGGAGGGGCACAACCCAGTGGGTCGCCAAGCAGAAATTCAATCTGTCTGGTGGTCTGTGAGGTATCTGCTGTAGGTAAACAGTTCAGCCAGCCTCAGTAAAAGGCAGCTGGACTTTCCTTTTTGGTTCTTGAAGTTCAGGCCAGAACTGAGGAAGCCTCCTGGAGGAGATGAAACGTCTTCAAGAGCCTAAAAGACAAGTCCAGCTGGTTTTACTGAAGCTCTTAGGATGACCTGCTGGTTCAAAGCAGCTTCTCAGTGGTTGGAGATGTGCAGCGTGATGCTGGGAAACGGCAGCTTTAATAAAGTGCCCACATTCTGCTTTTTCTTTCTACCATCCTTTTGTGTGTGTAAATTAAAACATCTGCAGACCTACAAAGACAGAGTCACTGCCAGGTGGAGTTAGTGACCAGTCCCCACCCTCAAGCCCACACTCGAAACCTCCACAGACTCAAAAAGAGGAGACTGGTGTTACAGCTCATGTTGCTTGGAAACAACCCATCGCCCTTTCAAAAAGAGAAATTTGTAGTTGTGTTTCAATCAGAGTGCGATTCAATTCAATTTTATTTTATTTGTATAGCGCAGTTTACAACACATTACCACACACCGCTTAACAAAGTAAGATATAGACCTTACAAATTTAAACAGCTGCTCACTAGATTCCTCCATGTTTGTGACATGACAGTGTTTGCTGATTTTAGTTAACCACTAGAAGTTCAGCTACGTCACCAGTGTTGCTGTGAGTGATGGGTAGAAAGTCTGCTAACATCCAGACTGTGCATTTGGTGATTTGACAGTGGGAAAGTCCTGACCCAGTTTGTAGGAATGCACCTCGAGGTCTGTTAATGTGAATATTCAAATTGAAAACTCTGCTCCTTACCTCCCTGGACTAGCTCTGTGAAGACCAGGCTTGTCTGACACTACATATGTCACAACACAACATATCTGCACATCGCCAGCCGAGCATCTGGTTTAGTCCCTCCAATAAAGAATGAGCAGCTTCCTCACCATAGAAAAGCCAAGTCCCACCTTTTCTGCTGAGCCCCTTGTCTCAGAAACAATAAGTACAGGCGCCAATGGAAAACCACTTTATGAACGAATGAGCTGTGCTATGAATTAAACATACAAGTCGAGAGTGTCTGGGTTTGGGCGACACTGCACAGTGAACAACATCTCTCACCAACACGGCCTTTTGCTTGGCATGTTTCACCTTGTTCTTCCACGATAAGGTGTGACGGCCCTCTCCACCCCCTCAGCCCGCTGCTGTGGAGGAGGCGTGGTGGAGGGTCATCAGCTACACTGGCTCCACCTGGCCTCAGTCGCCCTCTTGAACAGCATTATGAGCTCAGCTGCTTCCCTCCCTGAGACGCCCGTTTGGTTTTGTTGCTGATGGATGCTTGCTTTGTTTTTGCACCATGCATCACTGATTTTTCAGCGCATGCACTCATTCACGCTGCTGATCCTGCTCTCCACACATGCCATTGTTCTCTACAGTCTTCTGTACAAGTCGTTTCATGTTGAGAGCATGTGAACACGTGCAGCAAATCTGTTTTGGTCTCCAGCAGCTTGTTATGATGCTGTCACTTTTACAACTTTTGTGTGTGTAGTCTCTAGTGATATATCTAATAGTACTGGTTCTTTAAGGCAGTAAGTAAGTATATTAATACTTTCATGACATAACAGACGGTTAGGAACACCACATCCATTTACATAGTAAACAAATGAGCCCCACCCGCTTCAGAAGTTCCTGAATCATCCGTGAACATTTGACCTGGAATTATCCAGTAGCAGAGACAAGTCTGTGTCATACAGCCTCAGTAATACCTGCTCACATGCAGAGTTTTGAGAATTTATAAAGTGAGGAGGATACAATTACACCTGCAGCACTTTAGATGAAGTTAGGGGGTTAATTAGTTGACAGTCAGCTGAATCATTCATTTGTTGGTCAACAGAAAATTAAATGACAACGAGACCAGACTTTCCTGTGTTTTGTTTTATTGCAGACTGAATATTTTCAGTGTTAGTTGGAGCCTTATAGACGTTAAGCTTTTTGCTGTGCATTAAATATCCTTTGAACAACCATATTGGCATAAAAAACTGGGAATAAAAGGTGACATCATCAGTAACAGTCATTAACATGTCAGAAAATACAAACACATTTAGGAAAGAGTCCGTTGACGCCTGCAAACCGATCAGTGTCTGTCAGCTAGTAATCTGATGGTTTTAGTTTGACACTAATACACACACCAAAACGCATGTGTTGTACAGATTTGAACACTTACTGTGTTTCTTTCAGTGAAGGCGGTGGCTTGCTTTGCAGACCAGACGGTGCTTGTTACTCAGGTATGAAACAAAGCCGAAGCCCAGCCCAGAGTTATATTTAGCCTACCTGTGAAAGTAGCCCTTGTTCCACTTTATGTTTGTATGATATCTGATGTCAGCACAGTTTTCTCTTTACTGCCGTGTTATCTCAAAGCTCGTAAACTGATTGTAGGCAAATACTAGAGTCCACTGTTCACTGCTTGTGTCCTTTTCCCTACAGCTGGGAGCTAATCCCAGTTTCCTGGATAGTGACAAGCTGGGCCGGGGACAGTCTGGTAAACTCGCCCACGGAGGCACCCTCTACCTGGTCAACCAGGACCATCCGTTCACACTGAAGTTCTCTCTGAGCTCAAACGGAACAACCTCCAGCTCTGCACAGAGAGGACTGAAAGCCACAGACAAAACCAAAGGAGGGAGGAACGGCAAAGCAAAAGAGGAACAGGCGAGTCCGACGCCCAAGCGCAGCATCAAGGACTTCTTTCCCACTTCCCCCATGAAGGTAAAACATGTGGCACCATTTGGTTATTGAGCTGAAGCCGAGGTGGCGCATTGTTCTAAGTTTTTTATTTGCTTCTTCCTGTAATGTTACAACAAATGTGAAAAGAGGGGCGCTGTTTTTATTACTTTCCTGTTCAGTCATCTAAGAGGCGACGGAGCCCAGAGAGGGGACAGACCGAGGAGAAGCGCCGAAGAAAAGAGGAGGCCTCAGATAGACAGATGAAGGAGGATGAGGAGGAGGATGAGGAGGAGGAGAGGCTGGCTGAGGAAAAGCTCAAGCATCTGCAGGAGTTTGCTGAAAAATCTGCGACAGGAGAAAGTAACAGCGTCGGACCTTCGTCTTCCTCATTGTCTTCAAAGGCGTGTCTGAAGAGCAGCTGGCAGCAAACAGGAAACCTGATGCTTTATACTGCAGCTGGTGTCAAAGCCAGTGACAAGGTGGGGACTGTTTCAGACCAGCCTCTAATAAAGGTTGTCTGCATTAGGTGGTGCTCCCAGGGTTGGATTTTACAGAATTAAATATTATTATTTATGATAAGACTTTTCTCTTTAGTATAACTCTGCAAATTAAAAGTATATAAAGTATAAATGTAGTCATTTCAAATGAAAATTAATTTATTTAAATTATGTTTAACTGCATGTATATTAAAGCTAAAACTGTCAGTGTTCAGCAACCTTTCATGCAACAACATGAGACACAAACACAAGACATTTAATCACAGGCTTGTGATGCAGAAGTTATTAAGTTGTCACATAATACAGCTAAAGTGTCTCCTCTGCCTCCAGGTTGCTGGGTTTGACATTGATGGCTGTATTATCACCACCAAGTCTGGCAAAGTCTTTCCCACTGCTCCAGATGACTGGAGGTATGTCTGCACTGCACAACCTTCCCCGTTTACTGTTATCTGTAGATAAGACCGTTCCCAGGTCAGTCCAAGTCAGAGCTCTCACAGCTTCAGTTGATCCAGAGTGCTGCAGCAGGTTTGTAGCACAGAAACAGAACTCCAGTTCTCAGGTCAAAATATTGACCAACCAGTTTGTCATGAATTCAACTTCAAGATTAGAAAAAAGATAAGTTGGTTTAGGTGCGGGCTGCAAGGTGGCGCAGTTGGTGGGGGCACCGGAATCTTTCTGCGTGGAGTTTGCATGTTCTCCCCGTGCTGCGTGGGTTCTCTCCGGGTTCTCCGGCTTCCTCCCACAAGGTCCAAAAACATGTTGAGATTAATTTGTGGCTGGGATAGGCTCCAACCCCGCCGCGACCCTAGTGCGGTGTATAGCTAATGGATGGGTAGATGGTTTAGGTGCTTGATAGTCTGACTCACCAGATGCAGGATGCCAGTTTAAGCCACCACTCAGTTCAGTCGGCTATGTTCCTCCTTCAGCTGCACGCAAAATTTCAAGTGTTGCAGAGGTTTCAGGTCATGCAGTGAGGCAGCTCTGTTAGTTTTGCACAATTCCACCCGTCACTGTTTTCGCTTCGCCCCACATACGACGGCTGTGATTTGTTTAAAGAAATACGAACAAGCCCGACATCAGAATGACAGCGTCGGGCGGCCAAACCTTTACGTCACACAGAATGTACTGGCAAAGCAAGACCAGGGACTCAGCAGATGTGCTGACCCAGTATAACGCTCTCTGGACTCTCCAGGCCAGATTACTGACCACTGCCAGAGTTAAACCTCAACATGGTGAAGCTGAATGTGGCTTCTTTGTTACTCAGATGCCAGAAAAGCTCAAAACCTACCTTTTTACCACTACTTTTAATTAATTTTCTATCATATTAAACATACTTGTTAAGCTATTTTTTGCCTGTGAACTCTGTATGTCTTTGGGTATAAAATGTGCGTTGTGTTGAACTACCAGGATCCTGTACCCTGAGATTCAGCCCAGACTGGCCAGCTTGCTCAGAAAAGGCTACAAGGTGAGGAGGCGCTAAATGGTTGCTAATGTCCTTGAAGCTTTGCATGATTAAAGCCAGTGAAATGCTACAGTTGCTCTGTTCCTGCAGGTGGTGTTCTTCACCAACCAGATGGGGATCGCCAAAGGAAAACTGAGACCAGAAGTGTTCAAGTCTAAAGTGGAGGACATCCTGAGCACGCTGCAGCTGCCGGTGCAGGTCGGTCATGTGCTCGGTTGACTTTCATCATCTCTCCAAACACTGAGCATAAAAAATATTCACTTTAGCACGAAAGTGTATTTTACTTAACTGGATTAAAGACAAACCACCAACAGTAGCACAGTGGTATAAGGAAATGTTTAAAGTATTACCAATGGAAAGAATTAGTGCAAAATTGAGTGGCAATGTTGACACCTTTTTGGATCTATGGCGCCCTCTATTGGAATACTTGCCCGGGGACTTGAGCGATCTCCTTCGGAGGGGTACGGGCTTGATGTGGAGAACTTTGGGCCTTGCCGTTTGAATACGGATAAAGAATGATTGGGGCAAATTATTTTTTATTTTTGTTGTTGTGGCAACTCAGACTGCCCACTGTCCATTGTTCTGTATTTTTATTTATTTTTATTTTATTTTATTTTATTTTTAGTTTGGTTTTGTGTTTTTTTGATAATAATATGTGAAAATTTCAAGAAAATATATTTACAAAAAAAAGTAAATTAATATTCACATCGTGTCTGTATCTCAGGTGTTTGTGGCGACCGGTCCGGGGATTTACCGGAAACCAGTGATGGGAATGTGGAACCACCTGTGTGAGAAGGTAAATGTCAGTGTAGGTCACAGGGACACACACACTGTAATTAAAGAACCACACCTTAGTGAAAGGTATCTGCACAAAGAATTAATTACCAGCTGAGTCACAGAAACTGCCCTCGATCGTTCCTCAACTTTGTTTTTCTGTTGTCTTTGGACATTTAGACGATAAGCTGTCTGGTCTGGTCCTAATGGTTTTGTGTTTGCTTGTCCAGGCCAACGACGGCGTCGCTGTTGACAAGAAGCAGAGTCTGTTTGTTGGAGGTGAGTGAACCTGGATGTGTTGAAACAGTGATGAACAAGACACGCTTAAAGGTTGTTGTCTCATCTGATGTCACACAAACATGGACATTATGTTGATCTACATTTTGAAAATTAGACTTTCCGTCCAGTCTTTTCTTTCCCACATGGCTCAGCCTTTGGCCCCGTGTTCGCTTCATATCTGTCGCCTCTTAGTCATCATGTCACCTCCGGGCTCCTCCCACTGCTACACCGATCACACCCAATTGTACGTCTCGTTTAGACCTGACAGTCTTGACAATCTAGATCCTCTGCATTGCTGCTATTAGGAGCAGGATTACTGCTCATGTCCTGCAGCTGAAAATGGACAGGACTGAAGTCCTGGTCAGATTTCTCACAGTATCACTCCCCACGTTGGACCAACCACAGTCAACACACAGCAGTCAACCAACAGCCTGGGAGTTGTCTTTGATCAAAACCTCAACCTTAATCAAATCAGAAGTAACGCTATTATCCAGACTATTGTCCAACGTATCCACACTTTCATTTCCTCCCACCTGGACTGGATTTATTCCTCTGTCTAAATGATGTTTTCCTGGTTACAGTCAGCTCACAAACACTCAGCACAGGGAGCACAATCCTCCAGCCCTGGCTCAGCTACGCCGGCTCCACGTGCATTACAGAATTCAGTTTAAGGTTCTGTTCATTACTTTTAGATCTGCACATGGTCTGGCTCTGCTTTGCATCTCATAATTATCAACCCCTTATTCTGCAGCGTGATCGGACAATATATGTCTTTTAGAAGCTCCACAGTTCAGGCTTAAAACGATGGAGGATCGAGTCTCACAGTCAGAACTGCTCAGTCTGTTAGTAAAGCTTTTGAAACTATTATTTCCCTTCATCCCAAACGTGCACACACATCAGCTGACTGTACCTCTGTGCCCAGATGCTGCAGGACGACCAGAGAACTGGGCTCCGGGGAGGAAGAAGAAGGATTTCTCCTGCAGCGACCGTCTGGTGAGAGCTCTGCTGCTTTTTAACCGTCTGCTAAATTGTTTTGACCTTAAATGTCATTTTAAATGTCATTAATTACTACAGATTTAATCTCTTTCGTGTGTTTCAATGGAGAAAACGTTGTCTTCCTCCTTGTCGCTGTAGTTTGCCTTGAACATCGGGCTGCAGTTCCACACCCCAGAGGAGTACTTTCTGGGCTGGAAGAGCGCCCCCTACAACTTGCCTGAATTCGACCCTGTCAGTGCAGTATTGTCTACACTGTATGATAATATATTTGTAAGTGTTGTCTGCGGTTGGTTTATCGTTCTCTTTATCTGAATCACTAGAGGAAGCTTGACTCGGCTGCCCAGCTGTACGACCCACCGTCTGCCTCTCTCACCTCCAGCAAGACAGAAGTCATCGTTGCCGTTGGTTTTCCTGCATGTAAGAGAAACTTTATTTGGCTTTTCTGGTTTCTC